TTTTTTTTTTTTTTTTTTGATAGATTATCTGCTTCGTGATTCCCATAAAAAGTGACTAAGTGAATATTGAGTTCGGGAGCGACAACTGTTAGTGTTTTTACTTTTGTATCGGTAGTACACCTGGGAAGGACGCAGTGTTCCTCCACCGCCGTGGCTTCGCCAGCGTGGGGCACCGCTCCAATTGAAACAAGGTCTAAGCGGAGGGTGTTCAACAGGCTGACGCTCATCGTGTTTTGACGTCGCTGGATACTCACAGTGCCGGTGCGAGTGTCGGTGCGAGTGCCGGTGCGGGTGCGAGTGCCGGGGGCGAGTGCGTGTGCTGGGGCAAATACGTGTGTCGGGGCGAGTGCCGGGAGCGAGTGCGTGTGCCGGGAGCGAGTCCGAGTGCTTGTGCCGGGGGCGAGTGCGAGTGCGTGTGCCGGGGGGCGAGTGCGAGTGCGTGTGCCGGGGGGCGAGTGCGAGTGCGTATGCCGGGGGCGAGTGCTTGTGCCGGGGCGAGTGCGTGTGCCGGGGCGAGTGCGAGTGCGGATGCCGGGGGCGAGTGCTGTTGCGGGGGCGAGTGTGGGCGCAGTCTTCGTTTCGCATTCGCGCCTCCGCGGCGCGGCGGAGACGCACCGCACGGCCGAAGGTCGGTGGAATCGCGCAGGGCGGCGTGGGCGGCGGGAGAAGCGGCTACTCGACGCGGCGCCCGCGCAGATAAGCGGCCGCCCGTTTGACAGTCGACGGACGACGCCCGCGGTCTCTGCCTCCGCGCGTCGTACATCGCCTCGCTGCCACAGGTACGTCGCACGTGCCTCGCGGGAGCAGTACCCTGTCTCTACCACACGCATGCACTGGTTATTTTTAATATTTTTTTTCTTAATTTTACGACCATCGATTATATTTACTGGTGAATCAGGTATTACATTATATAGTTAGTAACGTTTATCTTTAACAAAAGTAAGATTTGTAAATTCATCATAATTTTTTGTTATTATTTATTATTTAATGTTTTACAAGATTTTCGTTCGTTTTATGAATATTCTGAGCTCTATATTCTTTGATCCTGGTGAGAGAAAAATGAAATGTCCTAAATGACCGCAAGCTTGCTTAATATATGGTACTAATCCCTAATAAACTTCAGATAATATTTTTTTAATATTTCAACGAGCAGTGCTGCTTTACGTAACGTACTGTTAAAATGCCTACTACTTATGTGACGTGTAGGATTAATACACTAGCAGGCTAAATGTTCGGGACTAAAGAGTGATTCCTTAAAAATAAACCAGCAAAGTGAACATGAATATAAGAAAGTTTTAATGGGAAAATGCCATAGAGTGTAAATGTTATAAACTAAACATAATTATGGTTTTAAATCATTCCACTCGTATTAATTCAAGACTTATTTAAAAATGAAATGAAATTTCTAACGTTACATAAAATTTATTTAACTATTATTATTTTGCTACTTATTAAATGTTTGTTTTGACACTTTTCTTACTAAAAAGTTGCCCCGAGATTGTTAGGGTCCTTTGATATGTTAATCTGGCCCCGTTAACGCTTGTGTACCGTAGCTGCAGAGCAAAAAATAATAATAGAATTAAGCAATTGAATCTTATCTCTCACGGTGCCTTATCTATTAAGTACATCCAAGAGACCATGAGACAATTAGATCAGGAGATTATTATGGAACGTTGCATGAAAAATAAACATTTTTATAATCTGCGTTTTATTTTCAAAATTGTAGTGTTAGTTAAATCAAGTTACAAATGAATAAACATGAAAAATATTGACATAATGTTACCATTTCGGTCATGCTGGCATGCGTTGGTAATGTACAGATAAAACCACGCATGCATTTTATTTATGGGCTTGTCTAGTTAAAGAAAAAAAATTGTTGAAGAGGGCAAGTCTCAATCACTTGGCTAAATGCACCATAGAACTAAGGCTTGATTTTCCCAACGTTTATGAGCAAATAGTTCGTGTAATATATTGGGGAACTGGAGCCTTCTTCGTGTTTGCGTATTTGTTTATTAGCCTCTAGCTGATTACCCGGTGTTGCCCGTTTACTTTATTTTATTTTTTATTTATTTAGTTTTTAATCAAAATCTGTTCGCCCCAAGCTTCGGCCGTCTCACACATTCTATCTGATCTGCAACAGCAGTCTTCCCCACACCTGTCTCCTAGCTCATCCAGCTCGTCCCGGCCAATCTCTTGTCCTGCTCATCATGCTACACACGCTTCTTCTGATCTTTCCGCTAAACCCAACCCCCCCTTTTCCCCTCCACCTCCTCCAACTTCTCCGCTTCTGCCGCTCCTCCCACTCATTCTGCCCCTTCCGCTCCAGTTGCCTCTGCTTCCCCTGCCGACTCTGCCTCCCCCTCCCGCTTATGCCGCTCCTTCCACTTCTGCCTCAATTCTCACTCCTGTTGCTTCTGCCGCTCCTTCCGCCTCTGTCGCCCTTTCCATTCCTATTTCTCCTCCCGATCCTCCTTGTCCTCCCGTTCCTGCTCCTCCGCCCCTTCTTACCGCTCCTCCCATTCCTGTCACTCCTGCCGCTCTTGCCACTCCTGATTCTGCCTCTCCATCCGCTCTTGCAGCTCGTCTCGCTTCCAGTTGCTGCTGCACTTTTCACTTATCTTCGCATTCCTCCTGTTCTTACTAGTCCTCCCATTCCTGCACCCCCTTTCACTCTTGCCGCTCATGTCGCAACTGCTTCTCCTTTGGTTCCTTACGCACCGGCAGCTTCTCCAGCTTGTAAAATACTCTTCTCACTCCTAGCGCTCATTTCGCTCTTACCAGTCCTTTCACTCTTCCCGCCCCTGCAGCCCCTTTCACTGAACTCCCGCTCTGACAACTGTGCCGACCAGATTTTTAGGAAATGCATTTAACTATATATTATAAAAAAAGCTTTTGAGTAAGCATTTGAAACGGCACACACATACTCTCTCTTTTATATAAAAGATATAGGTAAAATATATAGTATGTAGGAGTTTTGGGACCAAGGAGAGAGCTAGGACGAATTCAGCCGTTTTCTAGGAGAGAATTCTAGCTCTGAAGGATGCTTAGTTTTCCGATCAACACCACGCGAATGCTCAAACAGTGCCCTAACAAACGGGCCACGGATCGCGCACGATCTTTCCTTCATTTTCCTTGTTCTCTCTTCACCCCTCACTTACGAACATTTACATGCACTACTCTACCACACATGTCGGTAGTCTAGTAGGGAGTTCAGGGCTTCTTCCGGCGGAGGCGGTACCCCGCTGGTGAGAGATACCTGGATGGGGAAAATACAGCAAGTGGACTTGTTAGTCGGCGCGGGATCTCACCATCCAGCAGGAGATCACCGTCACGTCTCGCGATAAAAATAGGCAATACACCAAGAGACTAATGACCATAGCAGTTGACGCGCCCGCGAACACGAAACAATCAATCAACGTAGAAACTATGGTAGAATAAAATAAAACACACCTAAGGTGAGGTGCGAATACACCCATCTCTAGGCCGATTCTGTAACTATACTGTTTTGCTAGTTTCATTGAATATAAATTCAAATAATTTATTATAAATTGATTAGAAGTGCATTTATGAAAACATTCATCACAGGTTTCTTCGCTGAAGGCACGGTGGGATTCCCTAGGGCATGCCCCCTAAGATTCTTTGGACCGCACAATAATTTAGAAATTAGATTAAGATTAAATTTTATTTCCTGAAATGTGTTGTTGGATAATATAAATATATCATATTATTTAATTGATCCGTGTATTGAAATATGAGAAGTAAAGTTTTAATAATAAGGGTCATCTTAACTCAAAAGAATACAACTATTTAAGTGAGAAAAACGCTCTTTAGGAAGAGATAGTTGACTAAATTCAGTAGCTTCAATTCGAAGGATAACGTTTTTTGGTTGAGACGCAATAATTATAATTTATTATATATTTTTACAAATAGAATTGCAGTGATTGTGTGCGATTTCAAAATAACTGCGTTTTTGTACTTCTCACATACATATTTAGATGATATAAAATTCATTTTAAATGTTCTTACAATTTTTGTCACTTTGTCATAGTTGGAGTAATCTCTGGAATGGGTGAATAGTTTCCGATGTTGTTTTCACTTAAATATTGATCGTTTTGTTGGGCATAACTTAGGCTACGTTTTCAAATGATTATTGTGTTATGTGAAAATATTGAATGTTTGTTTTATTTATTCAAATCTAGAATGTTATTCTGATCTTAATGACATTCTGTATACAAACACACATGATCTTCAGAACAAGACAAAAATGTGTGCATGGAATTTTGAAAAAAGTACCCGTATTCCTCTTTTCTGTCTTTTAAAGAAAAATTTAAGTGCACCATCTTTCAGTTTTCCGCCAATATTTTTAAATCGGCAATAAATTGACAAAGTTGAATTTCAACTTCCTTAAAGCCCATAAAAGTTCCCACAAGATGCGTTTCGATTTACTTCAATAGCGCAGTTAGGCTTGGGGTAACTTAAAATCAAAATTGTTACTGGTAGTTTGCCAGAAGTACATTCATATTTACAACTGCCCGTAGCAACGATCATCGTAGCAAACATGGCATGGGGGAGCAGAACGGGGCAGGTGACGCAGATCAAGGTGGCACGGGACAGGTATATAGTGATGGCAATTTTTAGCAAAACATGGATACATTATCAAAAGATTTTTTATGTCAATGAAAACTTCGTCAAAAACATCGATGTTTTAAATATGATGAAACATTTCCAAGTAAAATGTCTTGATTCTCATGTGATACATAACACGTCAACATTAGTTTAAAGTATATTCTGCCTTAAATTTGATCGTCATCTTAATTTTCTAAGCATGTTCTATGAAGCCAAACTCTAGATAGGCAAGGTTCAAAATGCAATTTAACGATATTTCCGCATACAACACAATAAAAGGTAACAACACTGGAGAAATGTTGCGAATAGCAACCGGTTTCGTGCTGCCTGGGGATCGACAATCGCGGCAGTTGTCAATGGCCGTTGATTGAGAGCAATCCACAAATAATATAGATACTGGAAATTCCATTTATATTATGAGAACTTTTTTGAAAACGTCGATGTATCTGGACAATCGATATGTCTATAAGTCGATCTGAAGAAAACATCGAAAGCAATTCATCGATGTTATAATATCGATGTTTCTGCCCTAAAATATCGGTGATTTTTTGCCATCCCCGTCCTTTTTGCCTAGGATACAAAGGGACAGAGTGGGATGGAGCAGAGTGAGACCGGGAGGAGTGGGGAAGGTTCGAGAGGTTGATGGTACGGTAAGGTGGGGTAGACCCTATAAGTGAATTAATTTTTCCCCCACAATAAATTAATTGTGATTAATAAATACATCGGCAGAATGTGATACTTAAGCTAGTACGTACATACCGTCAAATCTGTCTAAACCGGAACCTGTATAAACCGGAAACCTGCCTTAACCTGAAAATTTCTTTGGCCCGTGAAGTTATACAGCATTTTGCACGGCATAAAGTGAAATCTGTCGAACGTGGAAACGGAACGTTTTTTCATGTCCTGCAGGGGGAGGAATGTTCATAAAACGAAATTTCTGTGAATTTAATGCAGTTGGCAGGCAGGCACGAGATACTTCTAATAGAATGAATGCACATGCATGTCTTTTTTAATTTTTCTGTCCATGTTATACGAGTTTTAGTCGTGGCAGCCGCATAGTGAAGGAAAAGCGCTTCAGATGTTAGCATAGAATTTGACCTAGGGTTTCTTATCTCCCAAAGCCTAGGTCCTAGTCCTCCTCCTCCCTTTCTCC